ATCTCTCCAAAAACAAAAGAAAATGGCGATGAAATCTGCTTTTGAATTTCAAATATTTTGATTTCGTCTGTACGAATATTTGAAATATCAAAACTTTCTATTACATTTTCAAATACAATTTTTGTGTCAAATAAACGAAGCCATCCATTAAATAGTATCTCCCCTATTTTTTCCTCTCCACGCAAAAACACGACTTTTGAATTTCTTTTTACAATGATGTCATATGGAAGATTTTCTCCAACTTTAATGAAAAAAGTATCAAATACTTTTTTACCTTTATACAACAAACAAACGGGACTTTCATCGGTAAGAAAATATCTCAGTTTTTCACATTCAAATTTGAAGGTGTCGTTTTGATAATCACTAATATCTATGTTTTCAATTCTGCACGCATTTGTATTAATGGACCCCTTGACACTTCTTATTAATATATATCTGACTGTTTTTGGAAGTATTATTTCGGAAAATTGAACACTTCTGAGGATAACTCCAACAAAGAAAAATTCTTCCTGTATCTTTGTGAAGTCAACTTTTATAACGGACGTAAATTTGTCGTCGATTGTGAAGTCTCGAACGACTTGAAACTCCGTTGGAAGTGCTTTTTGAATGAATTCGAAGAGATTTGGTTCGCCCAAATTTTTGTTGAGAACTCTGAGAGATGTGCGATTCAGACTTTTTTCGCTAAAGAATGGGAGATATTTGATATTCTTTGTTTTATATTTTGTGTCGAACATGATATCTGAAAGGTATCCAATGTACAATTTGACGTTTGGTGATATTTTAGAAAAGTTTTCGACACTTCTATCAGACAAGTCTTGATTATTTGTAGCGAAAATTTGAATGTTAAAATTTGTTTTTGGCATTTTAGAGAAATCGACACGTGTAATAAAATCAGTGTCACTTGCTTCGGCGTTAAATGTCACATTTCTAAGAGTTTTGTGGCTAATGATTTTAATGAAGTTATCTTTACTTAATGTATTTGTGATAAACACCAGATCTGTGAGTAGAGTATATTTGCTTATATTGTCGGCTAATACATTAACTTCTTCATTGAATACATGAAGGCTTCTCACACGTTTTGGAAACCATTCAGTTGATAAAGCTTCAATGATGTTTGCAGAATGGCGTATCATGTTTACTACACATGTTTGTCGTAACTCAATCAGAAAAGTACCCAAACTTTCTAAAAAAGATAAATTTTCGTAAATTGTATAGGGAATATACAGAGTCTCCAATTTTGGAAACAATTTGACAATTTTTTGTATTAAAACATTTACAGGTAAAGAATAGGGATTTATATATAAACTTTGAGCAACTTCATGAGCATTTTTGTTGATACAAACAAAATTCAAAAGGTCTTTTAATGTTGGCAAATATAAGACGACATTTCGAAGATAAAATGGTTCCAAGCGTGTCATTGTTTAAATTTTAAGTTTAAATAAAGATCATTTGGTATTAATTTACTTTTAATTATTTTGATTTAATTATTTGTTATTTAGCCAACAACCCAATACTGCTCTTTTTAACAGTTTTTTATAAATTTGTCCCAAAACTGTTTTAATAATTTTGAATTAATATTAGGTGATTTTTTTGAAAAAAATAGATAAAAACAAATAATATAAAATTATCATAATGGAATTATTTTTATTTTTTATACCAAAAAATCGTTTTGTGCTAGTATTTTTTAAATAAAAAATTATAGGCAAAACAGAACAAAAAATACAACCAAAATAATATAAAGTTGGTGGAAAAAAGTCAGCTTTTGCAAATTATAGTAAAACATATATTTATTATTATAAATAAATAACGTTTTCTAATATTACAAAAACATTAATTAAAAACGAAAAAATAAATAACCAAAAATAATTGTAAACTCAAACAACAATTTATTTTTTTTATTCACATTAAAAAAATGACGTTTCAGATACAAAAATGAGTTTTGTTGTTGTAATTATGTTACCCCATAACAGTCAATTGTGGCCACTTGATGTTTGTTTTTAAAAATGAAAATGAAGATTTAGTAAATATAAAAGAAAGCAAACATGAAATTTATCAAACTAATCATTTGATTTATTATTTAATAAGTACAACACAATTTAATAATAAAAAACTTAAATAAAATGTTTCGAAACAATTAACTTTAAACAACAAATTTGGACTTTTAAATATATTAAAGAAACCCACAAAACGCAGCGAATGTTTAAAAAGTCACACATTCAATCCGCCAATCAATTGAATCAATTTCGAAATGAAAATGTCAATATGAAAATTAGTAGAGATCATTCATGGTCGTTACTTACAGTTTTAACATATACAATTTCTGTATTAAATCACAAATAAAGGCTTTGTTATTTTATTGAATTTTTGTTTGGCTTGTTATGTAAATTTTAATAATAATAAAATAGAAATAATAATTAATAAAAATGGTTTTTTATAATAAAATAAAGTTAATCTTATCGAGACAGACTTTTTTCTGCCAACTCTGAGAAAAGTATTTATAAAAATAAAGACAATGATTAAAAGTCATATATACTCGATATAAAAATTGCTATTTCTTGTTTGACAAAACAAGTAAATAATAATAGTCGTAATAAAAAATAAAAATGGTTGTGTTCACTGAATGACGAAGAATGAAAATAGTGTCTGATAATAACAATAAGTAACACTCTTCTGTGTCATAGTAAAAATGATAGAGTCGAAATAGTTGTAAAATATAATAACGATAAAATGAATTTATTATGCATAGCTTTTACAGATAGTGATGCATCTTCATTTTATTATTAAGCAACCCGAATATTGATAATATTGATAATAATAAAGTGTACCTATTTATTGACTATAAAAGATAAATTACTCATAATGTAAAACACAACACAATTAAAATATACACCAAA